ATATTATATAATATGTATATTATATATGTATATTATATAATTTATTTTATAATTAAATATTGTAATATTTTTACAAATGCCAATATAATGATATGAATGTTTTGTTTGTTCAGAATTGTTGGGACCTTTATTATATAATTTAAATCTGTTTTCATTGCCGTGCTTCGGAAATCAATAAAAATTGTGGGATTTGGTGTCTAAAATACATCTTGAAATTAAAATTATGAACAATTATTTCTCTTATGAATAAATTATATTTGTTTTGCATTTTACATTTGATTCATTTGCGATTAAACTTAGCCCTGGAGGAGGCTGCATGATTTTTGGAGCAATTATAAATTAAGAATAAAAAATATGTCAGATTTGTTGCTTACAACTGCAGTTTCGGCCCCTTTCAGTTGCAGGTTATTCTTCTTTCCGCCCTTTTCATACTCAATTTCAAACAAATAACCTATAAATAGTTTGTCATTATCACTGATATATTCGTTGATGTTGGCTGCATTTTTAAAACGAGTTTTTAAAGTATTTTAAGTGTATTTACAATCTAATTTCTAAAATGGATTTAATTAAAACAATGTATCTAAAACAAAAAGCTTCGATTGATTAATTGCAGAGCGTGCACTGAAACATTGGATATGTCTTGAAATGATTTCTTTGTCTTCTCTGTAAGTCGTCACTTGACAAACACAATTAATGCAGCAAGTTGAACTGCATCCTCGACTGCAGTCTTGACTTTTTTCAGATTATACCATTTAAGTCTGTTTGCTGCAATACTTTTGCAGCAGATTCTACACCATGTTTACGTATTTATCTTGTGGCGACATGTAGTCCAGACTGTTTTGTGAAAACGCTTGAGCTGAGACAGTACCTGTGAACGAAGGACTTGTGGAGAGTCCAAAGTTGGAAGCACTATAACTGGAGTGGCCCATATTGTAGTTGACTTGATTTTGGTTGCTAAAATACTCCATTTGGGAATAGTAACTAGGAGCTTGGGCATAGTTGTTTGGGTATTGTTGATATTGGTTATGCCAAAAGTTATATGAATCGTGATTTGACATGTAAGCTGAATGGGCGGAATGATGTGCGGACTGAGCCGATTGAGCGGCATGAGCTGCAGCAGCTGCGGATTGTGGTGACATTGGTGTTATTGGTGGAGAAGGTGTTGTGATGCTGGAGCTAGAGTCCATTGGTGTTATATTGCCACCAGCCTGCACTAAGCGAGGATTCGCTGATGCGGCAGTACCATAGATACTGTGGTGGTGAGAGTTAGAACTAATGTCACCACCAGCTTCCTTTATTGTGTCATAAGAACCACGCAATGCATCAGTTGGATAGCCACTACTGATGTGCTCTTTTTTGCAAACGATGCTAACCGGACTAACTGAGGTGGCAGGCGTAGGCAATAATGGAGATGAATTCTGATGTGCTGCAGTAACATTCAGTGATCCGGGATTACCACTGATGGAATTACCAGAACCACTTCCAGACATATGGTGTGCATGTGAATTCATGGACGAGCTTGACGGTGTAGTGGCAGATGTGGATGCGGAAGAATTGAGGAAGGAACTGTGATGCGATTTTATTGATTGAGCTACTGCTGCTGCAGCAGCTGCTGCCGCCGCCGCCGAAGAGTTTCCACTTGAATTATTCCCATTTGATATACTAGCTCCTGAGCTGGATTTGTTGTTGTTATTTGACGATGAATGATGTGAGTTGGACTTGGAAGTGTTGGCTGAGTTGTTGTTGTTGTTGTTGCCGGTAGACGATGAGTTACGTGACGATGCACATGAAGTGGATCCGGAATTAACGTTTTTGGCGCTATTAAGACTACTAGACTGCTGTTGCTGCTGAAGCTGCTGACGACACTTAGCTCGACGGTTTTTGAACCACACCTAAAAAGAAATAGAAAGAATAATTATTAGTTCATTCAAGATGTTCAAGTATAATTGATCCGAAGAATTATATGCTACAAATTGGTAAAAGTTAAATTTTCCCACAGCAATTAATTTTTTATGGCCCTTAAGTGTTTATTTGCCAAATTCAGTTGTCATTTCAACTGGCTCATGCCAGTCACATTCGTTCACATTCGTTCACACTTTACTACCGAGTGAGTTGCTACTCGCCAGATATGACGTCAATGAATAAATTATGGTAGTGATGTGTACACAACACAGCAAGTGTAAAAAGTCACGCGCCCTGCATTTGCATTTATTTGCCTTTACACTTGTGCCCGAGTGTCAAAATAAAGTTGTACAATCAACCCAAAGCTATGCTGAAGAAGATTGCTCCTCTTTGGTAGCAATGTGTTATTTTAAGCAATCGAATACGGTCACACATACCACGTGAAAGCGAAAATTGACTTGATTATACCATGCATATCCGCACATCCGCACATCCCCACAACCAAAATAATACCAAGAAAAACTTCAATAAGGAAATAAAAGATAAGGAATTCACTTATCCTTGTTTGTTATGCTTAAGGGGCTGCAAACAATCCGCAAAGTGCTAACGCCCGTTTCCCATTTCAAATGACAGAAAAAAATAAACCATATACACACACACACATACACGCACACACCAAGCACAAAAATAAAAAAACAAGCTGGAATTTGGTACCCAAATTTTGTTTTTGTGATTTTGTTTGTTTCAATGTGTTTGCAATCACATATACGTTGATGTGGTTGTAAAGTGAGCTTGTGAGTGCATGTGCATCTCTCCACAAGCTCTGAAAATGTTGCGGGGCAATTTGCTTGGAAAAGTGTTGAGTGGGTAAGTAGTGAGTGTTTCGCTGCTAATGGTTTATGTGCTGCTGTTTTTAGTGTAAACATCCGAGCCCCTTTGCAACCCATGCGAATTTAACACTTGCCAGCCAAGTTATTCAACAATCCAGAACCAAGCCAGCGAACACTGAAAAAACAATAACAACGACGTCTGACACTAAATGAAAATATATGCGTGAATCAAATAATGCCTTAGGCCACGAATTCTGGGACCAGTGAAATTCGTACGTCACCAACCGGCGTATGCGTGTGTTCTGCTCTCTGAGGCAACTCATTCAAATCTGAAAAGTTATCGAGGGCGTTTTTTTCGCTTGTGTACAAGAATTATTGAATAGTTGACGCTGCAGTTACCCATAAAAAGAGCATTAAACAAGGCGTATCAAATTTCATTACCGCTACCTCCAGTGCTATTATTTCAACAAAGTAAAACTTAATAAAGGAAATATTCGAAAAGTTAAATTGACATTAGCAAGGGTGCCAAGAATGATTTTAAAATAGGAATTAAATTTCAATTTCAATTTGAATGAACTGATTTAAATTCTCCACCCTCGTACGCTGCCTACCAAATCAAAGAATCGCATTTTTAAAATTTTATTTGAAATCAGTTAATGAAGAGTAAAATTTAATATCTCTTAAATGACACACAAATTCCAGATTGTGTCAGCAAAATATTACAGCCGGAAAGTTCCGATTACCTTCTCGCAGTTGTTCTTTGCCGAAACAAAATCGAATTACACATTAAAGCTAGTTTTTTCAGTATTTAAATTGTGGTATGAATGTGTTCTTATTTTAAATAATTTATTTAATTTATTTTTTGCACTCTTTACACAATTGCGAAAAATTGATATAACATATTAGGTTATCGAGGTATTTTTAACATCGATTTTATCCGTACAGAAACCGTATAAACTGTGCTTCCCGAAATAGAGCCCACACGTTAGTTTTATCTAAATGTGATTCTATATTTTTTTTAAAGATATAAAGTACGTATCATCTAGAACAAATTGTTATTTTTCTAAAAGTATGATTTTAGCAACAATTAATAATTCAATTATAGGCACAATAGCTTTGAAATGTACCCGGTATTACCAAAAACGGATGTATTAGGTTTATCGAGATATTTTTAACATATTTTTAACATTGAGAATAGACGTTCGGAAACTGTATATAAACTGTATAGTTTCATTTAAATCTGTTGCTACAATTTTTATTAAAAGATATATTCCAGATATATACGTATCCTCTGGAACAAATTGTTATTCTTTTAAAAGTGTAATATTAGCTACAATTCATACTTCACTTATAGGTACAATTGCTTTGGAATGTACTCGGTATATATGTCATTACTTCCTAATAGCTTGTGACATATTTGTGACGCTTAACATCGCGAGTAGTAATTTAACATTACAGTATGTCATGGTATGTTGATAAGTAGAATTTCATTAATAGACAAAATCAGTTGATCTGTATGTGATCGTATATATAGATGTATTATATATAGATGTATCGTTAAATGCTGTAAAAAAACAGGCTAAAGATAATAAATGGAGATTTCTAAATTAGTTAATATGAAATTTGTCACTCTTGTTAAAGTAATTTAATTTAATATTTATATTATACAATTAAATTTATTACTAAAAATTTTTATTTAATTTTTAAGATAAGTTAATAAAATATTCATCTAAACTTCCGGCAGACAGTGAAAATGTCATTGCTGTAAACTTTACATATATAATATAATTATTATAAATTTCTTTGTAATACAACATATTTAAGATAAAGTAAAATAAAGATAAATACTACTACTATACTATAGATGCATAGTAATGTATACCTTGAAATGTATATCTTCATTTGAGTTTGGTTATTATTCATAAATTTTTACTGAAATTTTATAGAAAATGGCACAATCTGAAAATTTTTTTATAACTTTTAGTAGGAATCAGAAACAAAAAGTCAAACAAAACATAATTATTTTAATTAATTTTATTTATTAATTAAAATTACATTTATTATATTATATTAACATGTAAATGATAAATTATTTGTAATGTAATTATCTGTGTAAAGAATATTGAAGACATATTTTTTAAAACTCATATTATTTAATATTTAGCTTGAATTTATAGTAGAGGAGCGGTAGGTTATTGATTTAATTCAACTTATTTAGGTATAATGCGACCACAATCGGGAGAATGCTTTAGAGAAATAAATATATATATATGCCTACGCATATATTTGGACTTTATTCAATCCATATTTATAATTTTGTATTTTTGATAGGAAATAAGTAGACGAAGATTAGTGCGTATATAACTGTTGGTAAAAAAGAATAAGTAGGAAAAAAGAATTAGTAGTAGGATCTATCATAAGCAAGTGTTCTTTCATAATAGCATTAAATGAAAGTAGGGTACAAATTGTAGCTAGAGTTAATTGGCAGAGCAACAAAATAATGAACTTTTAAAAATTCTTTATTATTTTGTGGAGATTAATTAACATACATATATTGGAGAAAGATACAAATGAGAAATTATTCAATTGGCTAACGCAATTAAATGTCATTTAGATCTTAGTGATATGCATATATGCAGACCATGGGTCCACCTACTCTTGGTGGCGCACCAACATGTTTGATATTTAGTACATGTTAAAAACTATTAATGTCTGATAAATTTCTTAAACCACATTTAAGACATGATTATATTAAGAGCCGGAGAGTATTAAACCTACCTGCTTTCATTTCTCTGCCCTGATTACTGGAATGAAGTTTCCACATTGCTGTGGAAATCTTCTCCATTCATTCCTAAAAGGTGGTTTTAGTGGATTCAAGTCTCACAAGTATAAAGTAACGCAAAACGGACTTGGTTACAGAGTGGAATAAATGTCATTACATATTAAAAACATTGGTTAAAATTATGATAATTATCAAATTATTTGCGTAAAATGAAAACATAACATATATGATAGACTAAAAGAGTTTTTCTTTATACTAATGCAATAACTTTAATTGATATATTGTTAAATAAATTAATTTTTGTATACAGATAATCAATTTAAAATAAATACTGCATTATAAAAATAATTCTAAGAATGATTTTTTTCTTAAAATTTCATTTGAAATCAGATTATTTCTGAGGTCCTATGCTGTACTAGGAGAGAAGGACGGCGTTAGGTAAGTAATGCAGTAAGTTTAATTGATATTCGATTAAATAAATTAATTTTTGTATAGTGATAAGCAATTTATAATAAATTTGTATTATAAAAATAATTCTAAGAACCAGATTTTTTTCTTAAAATTTCATTTGAAATAAGATTACTTGTTTCAGGTGAGGTTTCAATTTATTGATTCACTTACTACTTCACTTACTGCAATGATGCAATTTATCTTACCAAAGTAAAATATAAATTTAAACATATTAAAAATTGTAATATCTTTGATAGAGAATAAGAATAATATCTTATTGTAGAAATTGAAATAGAAGTGTTAACGTTAACGCCTTGTTATCCTTAATCATTTTCGACTATTTAAACTATTGAAGGATACACTCAGCGATACTATACAATGTTTGAATTGCGTATATCTTTGTAAATTTACATTTAGCGTAGAGCTGGGCAGATAAATTCAATAAACAGTTTTATTGCCTGTTCCGTAAGATTATACATTCCCATGAGCCTTTTCCGTATGTGCATTACCGCAGGGCATTCTAACAGTATATGTGTGGCCGATTCCTCATTCTCTTCACAGAATCTACAGTTTGCATCAGTATGTGTACTCAGTGGTATTTTAGTTTACAGTGCCCTGTTAGGATTCCTTGTTATAGGTACCAATAAGTGATTTAAATTGTGTTAATTCTGGTATATTATTCCAGTAATCCTTTTTATTCTGGTTCTCCTTTATTTTTATGAGAGAAAGGACCGTACTATGTCTTAGACCATAATAAGTTCCGGCTCCATCATCGGTGTTTCTGCTTCTTTTCTGGCTAGTTCGTCTGCGTATTCGTTTCCGCGTACGACAATATGTTCCGGTACTCAGAGAATTGACACTTGATTTGATTCGCCAAGCTCTATCTTAACACAATTTTTGGAGGAATACGTCGAAAACGAACACGTGT